GTAGTTGTTTACTTTTACATAGTTTTTATTCTATTTGCAAGTCACCTAACTATGCAAACCTTGCCTATTTAATTAATGATTTGTTATACTCCATACAGGTGTATTATTTATATATGTTACAATTATACACAATAATGATGCCCACAAAGTATTTTAATACCACAGACAATATTTTATTTTTGTAGATTTAATGGATCCTTGCTAGTTTTAATACTATATATATATATATATATATATATATATATATATATATATATATATATATATATATATATATATTAAATATGCAACCCCATTTGAGCCGCTTTTTTGAAGGCTTTGCAAATAACTTATTTATCAAACAAATGGGGTAGGTGCTTTTTTTTGTATTTCATCTTCATCCCCCCCTGTCCTTTCGTGAGAGGAGGCAGTAAAATCCGCAACCGACTTTTTTGACTAACCTCTTTAAAAAGCTAAACCCGCCTCTGTTCAATATATCCATAACCAGAACAAGAGTGTAGATGGTGAATCATGATCCAATAAAAATAAAATTAGTTCTTTTTTTTTTTAAACAAAATTCTGCTTGTTACCTTTAGGCATTATCCTTTTAAAATAGTATAAACAGTAAATCGAATAACTTGCAAAATTCCAAAATACTAGAAATACTGCTTAAAGCAACCTTTGTAACAACTTGAATATATATTTAGAACTCAAATGATCATTTAACTATGACTAAAAAAATAAACAAGGTAGGCTATAATACTCGAATATTTTTTAATGTTTAAAATATATTGATTTTTGCAGTTATATATTAGAAATATTTTTGTTTATATATTGGTTGCTATGGCGTTTTTATGGACAGTATGAACTACTTGGTTGATATAAATCTAAACTATTATTACTCAAAGTTAAAGTTTTGCATTAAAAGTTTTTGTGTTATGTGAACAAAAGATTAATGAACCAAATTACAATTTTATTGTTATTATTTTTTTTTTATCAAAATTGACTTTTATTTCTTGGGGTATCACCTTAAGCAAACTTTAGAAAATAAGCTAGCATTAAAAATGAACGTTAAAATTATGTTTGAAAAAAAATCCTTGTTTACCTATTAATAAAAAAAAAAAGAGTACAAAAAAAGAAGAGAGTACAAATTCGAATTTATGACCATGCAAATTTTGGAGAATTGAGAGTTGGGGTTATTCTTTACATGATCATAAAAAATGAACACTGAATAATTTAAACATAAAATTTGAAATCTGTCAATGAATATATAACTAACTAGTTTATACTAGTTATAAAATAGCTTATACTAGCTACTAAATAGTTTATACTAGATTATACTTGTTATACATAAACATAACTAGTTTATATAAATGAAAAGAAAAGAAAAAAAAATTCAACTCATTGCCCTCACATTTAAACAACTATTAAATAATTCAACTCATTGCCATCACATTTAAACTCAGTGAACTTACATTTAAACCGACGAAAATCTGACATGGAGAGAACACATAAGAACGATAGAAAATAAAATTTCAAAAAATATTGGCATACTATACAAAGCTAAGCAAATCTTAAACCAAAACTGCTTAAAAATTTTATATTTCTCCCTCATACATTGTTATATAAACTATGCAAATATTGCATGGTGCAGCTCTAATGTAAGTAAAGTTAAAAAATTGCTTCGTAGACAAAAACACGCTGTCAGGATTATTTCAAAAGCAGGTAGATTCGCACATTCTAAAGAACTATTTAAAAATCATCACATACTCAATGTTTTTCAGTTAAACCTTTACCAAATTCTTATATTTATGTACAAACTACATAATAAATTAACTCCTATAATATTTAATACACTTTTCAATAAAATTAATCACGTGTACCCTCAGTGCTCAAGGATCAAGGGGGGCTATAGCCCCGGGCCCCGCAAATTTAGGGGCACCCTAAAAATTTTAGAGGACCTTTTTTTTTTTTAAGTCAAATTTCAGGCTCTGGTCCATAAAAAGGCCTCCAAAAAAAAAGCCTCGGGCCCCAAGAAGTCTTAATCCGCCCCTGTGTACCCTACAAGATTTTCAAATTACAATTATAAGCAACCTAAAATACACTATCTGATTACTAAATTTTCTATTGCTATTAGAGGTCCTAAATTATGGAACCCTTTATTAAATAACCAGCTGAAAAATTGTTTTTCACTTTCTCTATTTAAACAAAAACTCAACCAAAAACTTTTTAATGATGTTAATAAATTAAATTCTTTTTAAGATTCTTTCTTTTTTTTTTAACAACTATCTTATTAACTAGTCTCCAATTTAATTTTTCTTTAAATTATCCTATTAAATTATCTTTAGTTTTTAGGTGTGCTTGCTTTTTTTTTTACGATTTTCTTTTGATTATAGATTAGTAACTGATCTTAACATACTTGTATATATTTGTATATAATTTTTAAATGGTACAAAGTAATTTTATGTTTACATTTTAATGGTTATACACGCTTTCTGATGAAAACACGTCAAAATTTTTGATGAAAACACGTCAAAAAATACAAAATTAATACAATGTAGGCCTTAATGTAATGACCCTATAGTAAGTAAAATTTATCCAGTATTGGCCATTTTTAGGACTAATCATTTGCTGAATTGGCTGGCCTAACTAGCTTAATGTTATGTACTGTAATCTTACCTGCATGCAGTCCCTGTCTCCTTTTTAGGAACTTCTCTTGCATCAACAAAGTCATCACCTCTTACTGTTGCTTTTTATTCAAGACAATCCAAAAATCTTTGGTTCCTTTTTTTACCAACGTTGTCCTCCATCACTTACTTTTATAAAAACAATATTAAAGTAATGTTGCAAAATGCACAACAGTACAAAACACGTTTCTGAAGCCAAATTATAGGTTATGGCTAGACATTGACTGAATAAGCAATAAATTGATGTAGCAGACAGCTGAGAGTGTATGCTGTGCAATAGTTGACAGACGGCAGTTTTGCCAACTCATGTGCTAGGAGGGCTTCAGTAACTGATTGAGGCCCTTCTAGCACATTCTTAATAATTTAGTGGCCAGTATCTATGCCACCAGTGCAGGTAACTGAGATCTTTTTAGCACATATGCGGTTTTCGTCAATAACTTTATTTATTTATTTTTTTGACTGAGGTTCTTTTAGCATGTACCGATTGATTTATGTTCAGCCGGAAATGTTAGGGGTGTTCCTTTTTTGCTAGTGGAAAGAACGTTTAGATCTTTTGTGGAAAGAGTTTAGATCTCAACCAAGGATCCACTTGGATTTGTAAATTTTTATCAACTTTTATTTCATTTTACTTTTAAATCAGTTTTTCTTTACAAGCTTATTGCTTGTAGGATATACTGAAACATACGCGTCAAAAATACGTTGGTATATTTTATTTTTATCCATAATTCGGAATTTCATTATGTAAAAAGAATATATCGGAGTTTACAATTCAAATGCGCCTAAAAGTTAAGAAAAATTGTTTAAATGCTGTCGAGAAGTATTCGATACTTACATTTAAACAGCTACTTGTAAACAATTTTTTCTATTCGATTTGTTATGTTAATTTGTTTTATCGTAAAATGTGAATTTTCTACGTTAACTACTGTTATTAATTATCGCTTGAGTGCGTTAAGTCTAATAAAAAAACTTAATGCATTATTTCGAATTGTATTTGTTTAGAATTTCGTTTCAGAAGTATATAAATTAATCTAAAAAATATTTATTAATTACACTTTTTCAAATTTAAACAGTGCCCAAAGTAATAACTTTAGAGGTAAAACTTTATACTAAAGTCACTATTTAGTTTTAAACACCTTAATTTTTTTTTTTTTTTTTTGGGGGGGGGGGAGGGGGTAAGGGGATAGCTGTCAAAATAGTACTTAACTTTACACCATGAAATGCGTAACTTTATATTAATATCTTTAAAAAATATATAAATTAGTATGAATTATATTTTACATGTTTTTCTATTAAGTAAACATTGTCTACATTTAAGGATTTCTATTATCTTAAAAAATAAACGACAAAAGTTGTTCAACACTAGAAAGAGTTTAACTCTACACTTACTCCTTGTAATCAGATAATGAACTAGAAAAAGTTAGTTTGGTATTACCTAAATTTACCTAAATTGTTCGGTTTTAAAACGCCTAGCCTTTGAATAAACTTAACTGTACCAACCTGACACTATGGCCGACGTGTTTTTGTTTTTGTAAAAATATTGTTTAATCAGGAAAAAAATACATATAATTAAAAAAATATAAATCAACGCATTTTATTTTTCTTTAAAATAAATTATTTTTTGAAATAATTGAATTTTTGAAATTAAGTTATTTACAAAATTTCAATAGCAAATATTTAATAAAATAAACTAAATAAAATTTACATTAAAACAACACAAAATTAAATCATAAAATTATAGTTAAAAAAAAGATTGTGTTTTTGTTAAAAAGAGTAAAATCCATCATTGAAAAAATTACAACATTGTTACAAACCTAATAAATTGTTTTCATATTTCACAACTTTACATAATGTTTTTAACATTGCAAAAATAAACAAAAATTACATAATTAAAGTAAATTAAAACATTAAAAAAAAATGATATTTTATATAAGATTTATAAAAACGTTCCTTTGAATAAATTAGTTTGTTAAGAACTTTCAAATAAAGGTTAAGGTATTGATTATTTAATTAAACTTTTTGTTCAGACAAACATTTAGCAGCACGCACGTAAAATTTCGCCACCTTTATATACTCGTTTATCGTACTTTTTAAATTAATAATTTTGGAAAACAAAGTTACAAAAACCTTGCTTTTTGTGACTTGTTTAATGCATGGTATGTGGCTTTATTTCATAAATCCAACAAAAACTAATTTTCACAGGAAAAATTTATAACTAATTTTGCATGATATAAATAAATAGTGCCACTTTAAATAATGAACACTAAGTGTAAATAAAAAGAAATTTAAAAAAAAGTTTTACTTAACAAAAGAAAATTATAATAATGCTAAATAAAAAGTATTATTATAATTTTGTTACCTAAATAAAAATTGACTTATGTAACATTTATTTACACCATTTTTGAGTTAGATTGACACATTTGCTAATTTTAAATAAAGTGACATAAGCAATCAAGAAGAGAGAGTAGAAGAAAGAAAGAAGAAAAAAAAGAAGCTTAACCATTATCAAATGCATCAACTAAACTTCCTTATAAGTATCATCCTTAATTTAACAAAGGATCTTCATCGTCAGATTTAAGAAGTCCATATTTCATTCGAAGGGCATCTGATCGCTCTTTACGCTCAGCTTTGCGTTCTTCAGCTTTTAACTGCTGTTCTTTTTTCTTCTGTGTAAGTTTGTCTTCCTCTTTCTTCCAGCTTGTGTTGGATTTTCGACAACATTTACCTAAAACAACGTATTTTATCAAGATAAACAATACTTGAAATTAAACGACAATAGTTCTTATAACAACAATTATTAATAAAAACTTATGTTATTGATAGTAACAGTGTTATGTTATTGATAGTAACAGTGTTATGTTATTGATATTAACAGTGTTATGTTATTGATAGTAACAGTGTTATGTTATTAATAGTAACAGTGCTATGTTATTGATAGTAATAGTGTTATGTTATTAATAGTAACAGTGTTGTTATTGACAGTAACAGTGTTATTATACAGTAAACATAGACAGTAACAGTGTTATTGATAGTAACAGTATAATGTTATTAGTAGTAACAGTGTTATGTTATTAGTAGTAATAATGTTATGTTATTGATAGAAACAGTGTTATGTTATTAGTAGTAGTAGTGTTTTGTTATTGATAATAACAGTGTTATTGATAGTAAACCTTTAACATTGAAATACAAACCGACTACTACATGAAGTAAAAAAAAAAGAAAAAGAAAAAAAACTTACAATAAATAAAACATCCACAAGACAGAAGAACAATGAATGCCAATGATGGAACAACAATCATAAGGATATATCCTAAGAATTATATTATAAATAGAGGATCAAAGTTAAGTTAAAGATTTAAAATATTTATAAAAATTTTTGAAGTCTTTTGAAACTAACTTATAGCTTCAGTAAAATTATACAGTAGTTGTATTATACCCCTTCGTATTGCAATATCACAGATCACGGTCATTCCTGCAAAGTTTGCAAAAAGTAAATATCAAATCAACTTCTAATGCCACCTGGGTGAAGAAAATGTAACTAAATTTCATAGAACAGTATGTACCAGTTGCAATGATTTATAATGTATTAAAATGCTTACACTGGATTTTGTGAGCATTGAATAGGTTTGCGACAGATGGTCACATGGCAATACGAAGGTATGTAATATAGTTGGCCTAAAAGATCTGACCACTTATAATTTATTGCGAAAAACTTATTTTGAAGTATTTAGCAAACGCATATATAATTAAAACAACATACATGAACATAAAAGAATAAAGAAGTCATAGTATAAATCGTGTTTTATACTTTGTATAAGCTTCTTGAGCTTTTAGGGTGGTCTCTTTTTGAACTTTTAGGGCAGTCTTTTTTGAAACTTTTAGAACAGCCACTGTGATATTGAGACAATAAGAGAATCGCAATGCTTAAGAGTTATTATACTACATCACAGATCTGTTAGATCTGCAATGCCATAAAAGATCAGCTAGTAAGATTGTAAGGTTGTAAGTAGTAAGGTTGGGTTGATATTACCCAAGGGATGTAAGTGGGTAAGGTTGCTATTGATATTACCCAAGGGATGAAGTTTAAAATAGTGAATTGCCTGGCAACAGAGTAAAAAATATTATTCACAAACTACTTTTGTACAGTTTAGGGCAAGTTGCCTAAAAGTGCATAAGATATCAAACTTTTTGAAATTGTGAATCAATTAGACACATTGTTCTTAAAAAACTTAGTCACATAATTGTAAAAAGTGTAATCATCTTTGAGCAAAATTTTATTTGGAACATGATACATGACTTTTACATGGCACGTTTTAACAGTTCGATCTTTGTGCTTTTTGTAAAAATATAAGGCAACCACAAATACTTCCTAAAGAACTGTGAGACTTTAGGCAGGACAATATGATCAAAAATTAAAGTCCTTAAAAGGCATCTTGGAAACTGTGCAGGTATTAATTAAGATTCACATTAGGAGGCAGTTGAGTAAGAACTTGTGAGCTTTAAATCTATATACCCTTTACAACCAAACAGCATACCATGTTGTTGGTTTTAGAGTGGTAAATTTTGTTGTTCCACAGGATTTACCAGGTAGATAAAATCTGCTGACTCGACCTGTTCGATTACATCACAAGCAGACTTCAGCATCATTATGATTTAAATGTATATACAGTATATAAAATATTTTTCTATTGGTTGATAATACAGAATCACGCAGTAAAAAAACATAAATTGCCTAATTAAAAGTAATTATCTATATTATTATTAGTCGCTGGATCTCTTTGCTATAACTGTATAACCCAGGCTTAGACAGGAATGGTGTGTGATTGCGCTCTGTAGCTGACCACGCTATTATATTTATTTTTTTACAACTTGAGCACGGCTATTTCCATGTTTAACCATTTAAATGCAATAAAAAGTGTTACGTTATGAATAACTTTTATTTGTTGATCTATTCTAAAGTTTTTATTTTATCTTAAGGCTTTAAATAAAACCATATAATTAATTATAACGATTGTTTACATAATAAAAAAATGTTATATATAAATTTTTTTTATGTAGGCATTTTTTATGATAAATTTAAACGTTTAAAACTATTTTTCCATGTCTTCCTAAAAATCTTTTAAATCATTATTTTTAGGAAGAATTTTTTTAAAGTTACTTTAATGAATAACTAGCTTTTACACATTTTATATCAATCATACAAGAATATAAAATAACTTAAATAAGCATGTATTTTGTTGATTAATGGAAAAGTTTTGAAGCATTTGGTAATGTTCATACGATTAATTTTTTATAATTGAATCGGTGAAAAAAACTACTAGCCCAATATTTTCATTTCAAGATTATCAATGTTTACGGTAAAAGAGAAAAAGAAAAGAAAAGAAAAGAGAAATATAAAAATTAAAGATAAAACCAAATTATAATAACAAGTAAATAATTTTTTGTTTTATATGCATAAATAATTTGTTAGCGATCTTTAGATCGTCTTTAAACAAATGCACTTGAAAAGTCATACAAAAGGAAGGGAAGAAAAAAAAGAAAAAGAACTTCGAATTAAAAAAAAAAAAGGAACACTTCATAAACTTAAATAAAAAACAAACAAAAAATATAAAAAAAAAAAGAACAAAAAGGAAGTAAACAAATAAAATAAAAATTAAAAAGTAAAGAAAAAAAAACAAAAACAAAGAAGAAGAATTAAGTAAACTAAGAAAGAAGAAAAAACAAAGAAGAATAAGTATTAGTAGTGCCAGAAGATTGTAGTGAAACTTTAAAAAAATTTAGCTTGTTTATCTTAAAATACGCTTTTAATTTAATGTAATTATTCTTATTTTTGGATATTATTATTTTTTTTTTTTCTAGCTTTTCTTGTTTGTTTTTATTAATTTTTTCTTTTATCTTATATTGATTATTATTGTATATACTTATTATTGTTTTTATTATTGTTATTACAATAATTATTATTGCTACTAGTATTATTATTATTATTTTTATATATCTATAGTGTTTGTTAGCTTAGTTACTAAAGTTACTTATTAACTTATAATACTAAGTATAAACTTAATAATTTATTATTATATTTTCCACTTATTATAACTATAATATTTTACTTATAATCATTTATAATTTATTATTATTTTAATATAAATTGTTTTATTTTATACTTACAACTTATCATTTAACCAATTATAATATTTTTTTAATATATGTTTACGTTATTCTTCTTTTACTTAATTAATAGTATTTTTTCATTATTTATTTTAACTGTTAAATAAATATTATTTTTGTTTTACTATTTTATCAATTGAATTATATTTATATTGTTAATAAATACTATTATTATTTTTATTATTTTTGGTTATATTGCTGTTCATATTACTCTTTGTTTCCTTATTTCAGTTCTTTCAATCATTTCATTTTATAAACTGTACCACTTAAGTGTCTACTCACTGCAAAGATTGCTTCAAGAAAATTAATAAAAACCATCACTACCTTCAATGTAATCATTGCCTAAACCTTTATCATAAAAAATATTGTCAACTGAATGATACTGAATTTAGAATATTGAAAAACTCTAAAACATCTTGGTTCTGTATTTCATGAAGGGAAAAATTTTTCCATTAAGTACTTTATCAGATAAGGAGCTGCACCTGCAAACAATAAATGATAAAGTGATTCATATTAATAAATTCGAAAACAACATATCGAAGAAAACCCTTTTAATTGTAAATATATGGAAAGTTTTAACTCTTCTAACATCGACAAAAATAATTTCTCTCTTTTTCATTTAAATATTGCTTCTTTTGTTAAAAATTTTGACAAATTAAACTCACTTTTATCTATTCTTAATCATAAATTCAGTATTATTGGCATAACTGAAACTAAACTAAAAAATGACATACTACCAACTATCCCATTAAATCTTACCGGTTATGTTTATGAGCACACTCCGATAAAATCTTATTTTGGAGGAGCTTTACTTTATATATCGAATACATTAATTTACAAACTTCGATATGATCTTAATATGCTTAAACCAAAGCTTTTAAAATCTGTGTTTGTGGAAATCATAATTCCTAAAAAATCAAACATTATTATTGGCTATATTTATTGCCATCCTAGTATAAATATTTAAGAATTTATTAAATCATATTTAATTCCACTTTTGAAAAGCTATCTATGGAAAAAAACAAAACTACTTTTTTAATAGGCGATTTTAATGTCGATCTTTTATTAGCAAACTCAGATAATTCTGTCTCTGAATTTTTAGACACTATTGCTTTAAATAACTTTTTTCCCTTTATTTTATTGCCAACAAGAATTACAAATCACTCCAAAACCCTAATTGATAACATAGTTTCTGATGAAACTTCTACAAATATTTTTGCCGGTAATTTTACTTCTTCAGTATCAGATCATTTGCCCCAATTTTTAATACATCCATTTTATAGAACCAAAATTAATACATTTTTCGTTGAAAAATGTATTAATTTTAAACATTTTTCGTCGAAATTTAAAACAAATAAATTGCGACGAATTATGTAGTGATTTCTCAAAAATTAGCTGGATTAATGAAATCAATGTCAACGAAGGTAAGACTAATAAGTCATTTGAAGAGTTTTTCTAAAGTTTCAATTCTCTTTTAGATAAACATGCACCATTAAAAAAAGTCAGCAATCGCTGCTTATCAAGGGGTCTCAAACCTTGGATAACACGAGGAATCTTGACCTATTAAAATGCGAAATAAAATATTTAACAAATTTCTTAAATCAAAGAATCCTAATGACAAACTCAATCTAGAAAAATCTTATAAAACATATAAAAACTTACTCTCACTCGTCGTAGTAAAAAGAACCATTACTCTAAGTTCTTCTCTGACAATGCCAAAAATTTGAAATCTACATGTGATGGTATTAAGAACCTTTTAAACATTAGTTCGAGAGTTAAATCATCTCCTACCAACTTATCTTCTACCAACTCCATGATATACAACCCCATTAAAATTTCGGAATCTTTTAATTTATTCTTTGTTTCAGTTCCGGAAGATTTACAGTATAAGATCCACTCATCCAATACTGACTTTAATAAACATCTTAAAAATCCTAATCTAAATTCAATGTTCATAAAACCTACAGACAAAAACGAAGTATTATTGATTATTCATTCTCTTAATGACAGCAAGGCTTCAGGACCTAACAGCATTCCAATACCTATTTTTAAAGCTCTTGCAAATGATATCTCTCCTTTTATTATAATATTCTTAACATTATTGGTACTTTATTATTATTGTTATTATTTTGTATTATTACTATT